TTCTGTACTACCATATGATAGGTCTTGGATAGCTGAGGATGTTTTACAACGAGTCTTTGACTCTTCTTGAAGCTTTTTTTCTCGATTTCTTTCTTTTATTTCATTACTTACCTTTTCTTTATGCACCTCATACAGGAATTTATCGATCACCTTATCTTCCAATGATTTACAAGTCTTCGACTTCTGACATACGCCAGAATTTGAAGCGATATCAGATATATCAGATATGTTTTCTGACATTTGTTTGGATATATCATCTTGTGGTAAAGAGGTTGCAGAGGGTGATGCAGAGCATTGAATCTCTGATTCTTCAAGTTCCGTTAAAGATTCAGATTTCGCTGAGCTATGTTCTATTTCATCAGGAATAATCATTTCTTCAGGCACGTTAGTGCCCTCACTCCGTGAGTCGATAGGTTGCGGAATATCTTTTGTAGAAGATGCTTTTGGTACATTAATAATGACCTGAGTCTGCTTCCGTTCCAATTTCGTGACTCTATCTTTAAGCTCAGTATTCTCGGCAGTGAGCTTGGCAGTATCTGTTTTATTTTTTTTCTCTAACTCTTCAAACCTGATTTTAAGCTTAATGCTCTCTTCTATAACCTGTCTTAACTTCACGTTTTCAGCCTCGACCTCAGCATATTTCTTTCTAAGTTCGGGAATTTCAGCATTCTCCTTTCTAAGATTAGCAATCTCGACTAAGAGCTTCGAATTTAATTCTTTCAATGAATCAATTTTGGATTGTATATCTGCCATTTTTATAAGACGTAGATATGTTCAAAAGTCCGTTTAATATAGAAAAATATACATGTATATATGCTATGTAAGAAACTTTATACTAAGAGAATTCTTGATTACATCGATATTTATACAACATAATAAAATCCCGAAATACACATGCAAAAGCAAACGCGATTATGTATATGAAATCGAGCGTAATGTAGCCCGTAATAGGACGTGATCGCAGTGTGATCCATATATTTACATTGGGAAATCTGAGTGCATTATTTTTTGTAACACTAATTACATTTATACAGCAATGCTATAAACGAATTTAATCACATTAATATCCTCTTTGGAAATATATGATCGTACAAAATAAGCTCATCCAATTTTAAAAAAATCAATCCGTGGAATCATTCCCTCCCCTACCACGACCTCTCCCCCTTCCTCTTCCTCTTCCCCTATTCCTTTCTCCTTCTTTTGATATTTTTGGTAAAAATTCTGCAAATGTTACAGCTTTTGGCCGTTCTGGTGTAACTCCAGTTGGATATTTGGTTTTAGGTTTCGCGATACGTTGCTGTCCTTCCTTTGCAAACTTCTTAAACATCCTAACCTCCTTAAGAACATTATATCGTAAACATAAGAGTGTTCGAATAAGTCGAGGTACATGTTCTAAGTTACCAGTAGAAGTTGAGATAACGAGAGCTGGAATCGTAAATGGTGAGAACAAGTACAATCCAGGTCCAATAAATATCATTTGACCAATTTCAATATTATCACCTGAGAATAAGTAATCTATATTATATACTAAAACATAGAAATGTTTGCGAGCATTTGAAAACTTACCAAATCCTTGAGCCAAGAAAACCTTCAATGTACTACATACTTCCCACGTTGGCAGTCCCGTTCTTGTCATAAACTTATTGATGGCAAAAACACCCTCATTCATCAACTTTTGCCTATCTTCATTAATTTTATCTGGGTCCGGATTATTGGGACCTTCCGATACCTCGAGCAAAAACAATGGAATTTGCATGGGTCGCTCAAAAAACTCCAATACACCATCAGCTTTAAAACCATTTTCTTGAACATCTATTTTTGTAGAAATACTTCGCTCACATGAAAAATAATGTAATGAGTCGATAAAACAAAATGTAACAAAAAACAGATATGCTAATACGTGAGCTGTCCATGTACGTTCAGGGGTATTTTTCATAGCACCATTCATCTTTATGATAGTATCAAGGTGACTAGATACGCTCTTAACAATAAACATATCAGACATTTTAGATTGATCATAATATTGTGCTGACATGGGAAAAGTATTGGATAGGTAGTGATATTTTTCGGGTAAGCCATCTAATTGGTGCACGATTTCCTTCATTTTAGCAATTGATTTGTTAAAC